TTAGGGAAGAACTTGGGTATCGGTTCAACTGGTTAGAAACTATATTGCTATACATCTTTCAAAATTAGCCAACAAAATTCATAGAGAAATTTTTTTGCGATTATCTCTGCCCTCGCCCTCTCAGTGGGACAAGGTTTCTACCTTGTTTCTAGCCACCAAAAACTTTATGAACATTACTATGCAATCCCCACCAAAATAATTGTGAATTACGACATATTTCAGAAGAGCATTATAAAATATGATATTTGTAAAAGTTTTACTTTTCATGATCACACAAGAAAACCAAAGAAAGTTGTTGGACAAATTTTCATTTGGAGACCTCTCCGATGTAATTTTCTCAATCGGCATCGATCAAATGATCAGGGACGGACCCACATGGGGTCATGTGGGGTCAAATGACCCCACAAAATTTTGGGATTTTTTTTCTCCAGAAAATAATTGTTTTAACCGTTTTATGATCTACTTTAATACATATCAAATGAAGTTGGAACATTGCATTCTTAATATCATTTCGAAGTGCTCATAACCTAATTTTTCGCTTCTTAATGGCGTGCGAAATAATCAACCGTAACAAAAGTTATGATGTATCAAAGTAAGCCGTTCCAAATTAGTATTTCAAAAAGTTCGATAATATGCTAATTTTTAAAATTTACTAATAATTGTATGCTACCCGAATCCACAAATCGCTTGAGTTGTCTAGAAGCTTGTTTCAAGAACTACATCATAATCATATCGAATGGTCCAAACGGATATTTAAAATAGTTAAACATGTGTCAAATGTACGTACTAGACAAGATGTTTAACTCATTTTTTCTTTTAAAAAAATTCAATATTTCATTAACGTTTATTATTTTTGCGCGATAAATTTTTCAATATAAGATTTATTCGTCATTAACTCAACATCTAAAAATGACATGGTAAACAAAATTATACATGTAGCAAAATTCATTTAACACTATTGATAATGATATAATTATAAGACATTTTCAAGGTATCAAAATGCATATTAACTCATTTTCATTAATATTATATTATTTTGAAAAATTACAAATAAATTTTTGATCCCACACCCTAGAAAGGTTGGGTTCGCCCCTGCAAATGACTGAACTAAAAGTCGACACCTCAATGAAAAGATCCGACTCTAAAACTCTTTGGGCCATTGGAAATAGCCTAACTTAATTGATGCTGCTTATTGCCCGTTCCCCGACTTCTTGGACCGCTTATAATTGTCGGTTCACTTAGTGATATACTTGGTCCACTTACCTATGTTATTGGGCTTGGCCAAATACTGTACCTGATGCAAACTTACATATAATTGCCACCTTTGCTTTTGTGTGACCGTTTCCTTTTCCTTTGATGAAATCGGCGGTTGGCTTTGTGCTCTCTTTACCACTTCTTCATCTTCTTTCTCTGCCTTTGTGGCTGCCTTCACGATCAGGGACGGACCCACATGGGATCATGTGGGGTCAAATGACCCCACAAAATTCCCCCCCCCCCCCCCCCCCCCCT